TATTGTGATGCCTACTGACTGGCCCTCCCTCCCTATGCTCCAATCTATTCTCCACTCAGCTGTCAAACTGATCTCAAGTCTGACTGTGTTAGCCTCCCATTCAATACCACCCCCCCCCACCGTGGTTCCATATCACCTCTAGGATCAAATATAAAATCCTCTGTTTGATGTCCAAAGCCCTTCATAACCCAACCTCCAGGTCCCACCTTCCAAATCTGCCATCTTACTCCCCCCTCCCCGAAACAAACTCCATGATCCAGTCACCCTGCATTCCTTGCTCTCCTTCCCGCACAACACTCCATAGCATTTTCTCTGGCTGTCCCCCAAGCCTGGAAGGCTCCCTCTGCTCATCTCCTCCTCCATTCTTCCCTGGCTTCCTTCAAGTCTCAGCTAAAATCTCACTTTCTACAAGAAACCTTTCCCAGTCCTCCCTAATACCAATGTCTTCCCTCTGAGATTCTCTCCAATTTATCTTCCACATATTCTGTCTGTCCCCATTGTCTCCCCTGTCAGACTGTGAGCCCCTGACACATAAGAGGGACTTAATAAATGCTTGTTGACTGAGTGGAAGATCCCATGATAGGATTATTTGAAATAGAGGGAGTGTGGCTACAGAGGACCGAGCACTGGACTTGGAATCAGGAAGACCTGAATTTAAATTCTGCCTTGGACATTTACTAGCTGTGTGACCTTGGGCAAGTCATTTAAACTCTCTGTGCCTCAGTTTCCTCATCTGAAAAATGAGGAGGTTGGAGTCAATGGCTAATAAGGTCCCATATTGCTCAAAATCTATGATCCAGCATATGTTTTCCTTACACTACATTGGCTTCAAATGAATTTTCATGTATTCCAATAGTTTCTTTTATTCCTGATGTTTTCCTATTGCTTCTGTTCATGGGAGACATCATTTTTCCCCATTCCTTACCTTGAAGGTCAGGAACCTGGAATAGGCTGCTTCAGGAGGTAGAAAGGTCCCTTTCAAAGGCAATGTGATGGTGCAGTGGATAGAACACTGATCCTGGAATTAGAAAGACCTGAGTTCAAAGCCAGCCTCAGATCCTTAATAGCTGTGCAATGCTGGGCAAATCACTTAAACCTCTGTTTGCCTCTGTCTCCTCAACTGTAAAATGGGGACAATAATAGCATCTATCTCCCAGGATTATTGTGAAGATCAAAAGATAATATTTGTAAAATGCTTAGCACAGTTTCTGGCATATAATAAGTGTTAAATGCTTATTTAAATTAGATTATATTAAATAAATGCTTATCTCTTCCCCTCCCCTTCACTGGAGGTCTACAAGCAGAGGCTGGGGAACTACCTCCTGGGGATAGCAGAAGGGACTCCTACCTCAGATCAGATTGGACTGAGTGACTAACAGGGGACAGTAGAAAAAAATGATGGAATCTGAGTCTCAAGGTCCACATTCAAATCCCAGGTCTTCTGTGTGCTTTCTGGGTGAGCCTGAGCCACTTGTGACCTCAGTTTCCTTATCCATAAAATGGAGAAGATAGACTGGTTGACTGCAAAACGTATGACCCTCTGATTTTTGCCTTACCACAAGCATTTATCTTCAGATCCTTTCATTAAGTGGGAAGGAGAAATGACGATGCCTCATCTTACTAGTAACAGGCCTGGGAGGTAAATAATATATCTAGGATTGCTTCCATTTTGGAGAGGAAAAAATTGAGGTTCATAGAAGTTAATTGAATTGCCCAGAGTGGCATCATTAATAGGTCAGTTCAAGCCCAGGACTCCTAGGCCAGCTTGTTTAAAGTATACCATGTACAGAGGAAAGGGGTCAGGGGATCAGGTTATAGAAAATTGTCATGGATAGGAGAAAGAGGAGTAAAAAGGGGGAACTACCCTGAAGGGAAGTTGAACAAACTTTTCCTTTGCTATTCAGTCGTTTTCAATCATGTCTAACTCTCTGTGACCCCATTTGGGGTTTTCTTGGCAAAAATTCTGGAGTGATTGGCCATTTCCTCCTTCAGCTCATTTTACAGATGAGGAAGCTAAGGAAATAGGGTTAAGTGACTTGCCCAGGATCACACAGCTGCTAAGTTTCTGAGGCTGGATTTGAACTCAGTTCCTCCTAATTCCAGGTCCAATCCTGTTTCCACTGCATTATCTAGCTACCCACAGATTTTTCCTGCTATCAGGACTATCTCAATGTGTACAAGGTAGACAGCAGCACTTCCTTGTAGACCATGGTATCCTCCATCCCCTACTATTGGTGCCTTCCCTCTGTGCATTTTCTCCAGTTTATCTTGTCTACATCTTGCATGTACACAGCTGTTCAAATGTTGTCCCTCTCACTTCCCGCCTTCCCATTAGACCCGGATTCTCTTTTGCTTTTCAGTTCCTGGCATACAGTAGGCACTTATTAAATGCTTGTTGATTCTCACCTGCCAGTTGACTTTGGGGAGTCCTGGGGATGAGAGGAAGTGAATAGCTCTGGAGTTGCCTGTGGCCATTTCAAAGCTCACTTTCCTACGGCCTCATCATCTAGCATTTTCATTTAAAACCAAACATACTTGACAGGAAATAAATAGCAGACCTTTCTTAATTCACTTTTTTGCTGGTACAACCTTAAGCTCTGAGCAGTGGGAGTGCTTTCTCCATCAGTCAGTCAGTCAGTCAATCAATCAACATTGATTAAGCACCTACTAAGTGCCAGGCACTGTGCCAGAATGGTCACATCTTTACAAGATTTCAGGGTGATTAGCCAATTAGTCAAAGGGTTTCTCTGATTCTTTTCATTTTCAGACTACAATGAAGCCCATCGATCTGTCCCACCCTTTGTCCCACTGCCCTCCAGGAGGTGGGTCATTTCTTAAAGCACATCCCAAGGGCTAGAAGCAGCTCAGATTTGCATTGGCAAATCTTGCAATTTTCAGAGTTTCCTCCCATTCTTCCAAGAGTGACCACATGGCCTCAGACATTCATAAAAGCCTCTGTTTCCCCCTTTTAATATGGGGCATGAATATGGTATCCCCAGAGACTATAGTCTCTTCTACAGCCCACACTGTAATGAATGTGATTCAATGAATTGCAATTAACTTTTTCTTTTAAAAAATTATTTTATTTTTAATTTATGGAATAAAACAAGCATTTCTATAAAAAAAGATGATTGCACAGGAAACTGCAAGTCTATTATATACAATTTGCTATTCCTTTTAAATATATAGTCAAGTTATTATGTAAATTTCTTTTTTCCCTCTTTTTCTTCTTCCCCCTGACCCTACCTCGCCCTAAAGATAGCGACCATTAATGTCTGATCATATCACTCCACTCTTGAGATTGCCTTAATGATCCAATGGAAAGAACACTTGATTTGAAGTCAGAGGTCCTGGGTTCAAATTCCACCTCTGACAATTCCCACCTGTGTGTTCTTGGCCAAATCATTTGACTTCCTGGTGCCTCAGTTTTCTCATCTATAAAATGAAGTCCTCATCTGTTCTAGATGCCAGTAATGGCCTCTTCCTTTTGTAGATCTAGGAGCCTATGACCTGAGCTCTTTAAATTAGAATCCAGAGATCCTCCCTGACCTCCCTCTCCAGCCTTATCTCAGAGACCCATTCACCACTATCATTGAAACTTTCTATACTTTCCCTTTAACATATTTTTGCTGTAGTTGTTGTCCTCTGTGCCTCTTCTGATTCCCTTCCACCTCTCATTTTTATACGCTCCCCATCAAATTATTTTGTATTTATGTTGAATATATTTTATATTTATTTACCTTATATGTTATTTACCCTTAATAGAATTCAAGTTACTTGAGGGCAGGGAGTGTTTCTTTGCACCCCCAGCATCTAGCAAAGGGCCCTGGCAGGTAGTGCACCCTTAATAAATCCCTGTTGGATGGATGGATGGATGGATGGATGTCTAACAGTGAGTTTGCTCTCCATTTTAATTGTACCTTTTGCAGAAGTGATCAGGTGGTTTTTACATGTCTTTGCTTAAGGACAACTTTACGCTTTATTAAACTTTGACCAGAAGTTCCCAATAAATCCAAGATACCCTCCTCCAGAGTCTCTTAAAGGAGTTAAGTGAAATTTCAGAAATTTTTGCAGATCCATACCCACTTGACAAAATCCCTTTCCAAAGCCATCCATGGGTTGGTGAGAAAGGTCTATCTACATACTCCATAGATTACTCACAAAATCCTGTCAAAGGTAGTTGACAAACAGGAGCACCAGGGTCTTCGTGAGACAAATGGCTGGAGAGAACAATGGTACCCACAGAACAGAAGCCCCCTTCCTAGGTCCCACTTTGCCATTCATGTTGGCTGGCTTTTGAATGGTCGAGGTGCAGATGGGCCTTCTCCTGCCCAATGGCTAAGGACAAAGCCAACAGATGGTTAGAGAATAAGTGTGTATGGATGTATGTTGGGGAGGGTGGGGAACCTGGGTCAGGGAGCTAAGAGAGGGGGAGCAACAATGGAGAGGAGAAGTCTTAACCTAAAGCTGAAAGTGTGGACTTCTCCAGTTGCCCACGTGAGAAACTCCCACACCAGAAAAGTTTGTGGGCTTGTGCTAAGGGACAGAGCTTTAGATTGGATTCCATCTTTAAAACAATTATCCCAGTAAACTGGCCAGCTGAGAGAAGTATATATTGACTTTCTGTTTACCTAGAAGAAGTTCACTGGGCTAAAACTGGCTCATTCTCCCTTTACAATGGTTAGCTTCTAATAGCAGCTCCTGACTGCTCCGAAATACAGGACTCAGAGGTTGATAATCATCTTTTAGTTCAGGTTATTGCATGCAATTTTTCACATTCATTCAGCTTTCTTCATACAGCTCTTAGTAAAGTAACTCCCTTAACAATAAAAGCTTTTATGGGGGCCCATTACACTGGAGAACTAACCACTCCTAGGGTGGTTTTTTTTTCTTTTTGGTGTGTGAAGGGTTTTTTTTTTTTTATTGGCTTCTTGGAATATTTATAGCCGTCTTTGTTCTCCCTGCAAACCTATACACTGCATGGAACAGGGGGTGCTGTCTAGCTGGGAAAGACCAGTAAGTGTATATGGGTATTGAGGGGTAAAAGAAAGCCCAAAGATCCAAGAGGTTTCATAGTTTGAAATTGGTTTGGCTGTTTTTTGGTTCTGTTTGTTTGTTTGTTTTCCCCCGTGTCAGTGTTATTTCTCCGTTTCTCCAAACTCTGAGTGCCAGGCTAGTTTCCATCGTGATGAACTACCGAAAAGTTTGTGCTTCCTGATAAACTGGTTCTGCCATTCTGGGGCCAGCTGAGTGAGACCGATCTGCTCTGGAACAAAAGAAGAATCAGCTCACACGAAAGGACTGGATTAAACAGCTAGGTAAAGGGTTTCACAGAAACAAACTTACGTAAGCTGAAGAAACCGTCCCTACCACATGGCTCAGTGCTAGCGAAAGGTGGCTTATGGAGGATTCTCTTGTCCCTCGCTCACAGGGCAGCGGGGACAGGGAAGAGAAGGGCTCGGGCAGCATTGGAGAGACTCGACCCCTACATTTCTTCAGTGGCAGAGAGGAAAGCGCACTCCCTTGGGAGTCTGGGAGTCTCGGTTCCATTTCTGCACCCATACTCTCCAACTATAATAGCCAGAGAAGTCATTTAATCTCCCTGGGCCTCATTTTCCTCATCCCAACAATGTGTAGGTCAGACTCATTGGCTGCTAAAACTCCTTCTTGGTTTGAAAACTAGAGTCTCAGGGAAGTTCAGGCCCACCCTCCCAGACTCTTCTGACTCATTTAATCCTATCTTCTCATAGAAGAGGTATTCATTTAGCAAACTGCTTCACAAAGAGTTTAGGAGTTAATAACTGTGGCAAAAACAGTGCCTATGAATGCATCATTTTGTTTATTTATCAAATAAATTCCCCTTGGGTAACTAGGTGGCACAGTGGATAGAATGCTGGGCCTGAGTTCAAATCCAGCCTCAGACATTTACTACTTCTGTGAGCCTGGGAAAGTCACTTAACCCTGTTCACCTCAGTTGCCTCATCTGTCAAATGAGCTGGAGAAGGAAATGGCACTCCAGTATCTTTGCCAAGAAAACCCCAAATGGGGTCATGAAGAGTCAGACATGACTGAAAATGACTGAACACAGTGAACAAATTCTCCTAGTTTTGATCAAATATTTTACTTTTAAAATGCATGTCCTTTGTCTTGTCTGCCAGCCTGAGTTTAGATGTTTAGATTTTAGATGTTCCCAGCAGAGTTGGGATAGAGATACGAGCCAAATGTGGTATAGTTAGGTTCTATGACTCCACAGACTTGTAGGCTTATGGGAGGGGCTCAAGACACTGCCCCTTTCCTCACTTGGGATTCTCTTTCTGCAGTGATGGGCTCTGTCCTACCCAGCATCCCTGGGATTGTTTCTACTTGTGTTTGTACAACTCTATTGTTCCACCCCTCAGCCCTAATTAGAACCCCCCAATTTCCCTGTTGCAACTGGTCAAACCCTAATGCTTCCCCACAAGCTGTGATGCTGTGGAACTTGAGGCCCACTGGGACGTTCTTTGGGGCTATGAAGTGATGGGTCTATTGGATGACTGGTTCCTTGCAAACTTATATTACATGAAACTCTATTGAGTCCATTCCCACAGTCACCCCTTTGGTCACTTCATAGCAGAAGAATCAGTCCTGAGCTACCCTTGTCAACCTCCCCTTTGCTGAATGGTCTACAAATATGTGTGCTCCTACATACCCCAGAATTAAGGAATCCTGGAACTTCGGGTTGGCCACACAGCTCACAATACACACGTCATTGCTCTGGGTCCTTTACTGAAGAGACAGCTCGGTTGGGCCAGTTAGTGGTTAGTGCTAACTCACGTACTTAGCTGTGTGACCCTGAGCCACCGCTGATGACATCCAAGGTCCCTTCCAGCTCTCAGCCCATTATCCTATTGTAACAGTCTCTTCTTTGACTCAATCCTGACACCTGAGGAGCGTCAGTTAGAACTAAGGGTCATATGTCCAGGAAGTTTCAAAACTAACACTTGAACCCGGGTCTTTCTGGCTCCAGATCTCAGACTTTTCTTTATTCCTCTGCCATGTTTGTGCCCAAGCAAGGACTAGAGCAAACAAATGCAAATGAATAAGGTGAGATTTGAGTGCGACCTGATTGAAGCTCAGGGGTATCCCAGGTGAGGACAGGAGGAATGGTGAGCATAAAGAGGTGATAATGAACAAGGTAAGAACTGGAGATAACAAAGATGGTTGCTTGTCTGGAACCAGTGATGGTCTTGTGGGGAGAAATTAGAATCCTCAGCTTCCTTCCTTCAAGGCTTAACTCAATGTCAGCTCCTCCACAGCACCCTTGTGAGCACTCTCCTGGCCCTTTCCCGCTGTCTTGGGTGGTCACTTACTAATGCCTGTATTGTACTCACCGGTAGAATATAAGCTCCTCCAGGAAAGACACCGAGTCATTTCTATCTGAATCCCCAGCCCTCAGAAGAGCTTCTGACACATAGCAGGCACTTCACACATTCTGGCTGAACTGAATTGAATTCTAGACTGTCCTGAGTGTTTAATGTTTTGGCATGTTTGTATCTAGACCCAGGGACAGTGACTGCACCTGTGATTTCATTGGGATAAGGATCTCCTGGACAAGGAAACTCCCTCCCCCAGCCCAGGCAGGCACATTATCTGAAAGGAAAGTTTGACCATCTAAGCTTCATCTCTGTGGTCATCCATGTGCTCCCAGGTGGAGTGACTGGAAATCTACTTCTCATTTAGTTCATTTTAAAAAAAGCATCTATTAAGCCTATACTGTTTGTCGGCACTAAGCTAAGTGTAATGGTCTCTCCTCTCAAAGAGCTCACATTCAAGTTTTATCATGTCATTGAGACCTGGAAGGGCAAAGGCCATCTTTCTAACCCAACCTCCTCATCTGGAATATAAAGAAACTGAGGCCCAGAGAGGAGTGATTCTCTCAAAGTCACACAGCTAGTAACAAAGGGGCAGGGCTGGGATAAATCACTCTCTACAGTAGGACTAAAAATTCCCATCTTTTTCATCCATGGAGCTCTCACCTGTGAAATGTAATTGTTTATCATGGCATCAACATACCCAGGCAGGAAGGTGAAGCCATCAAAATAACTCCATGGGAATAATGATGTTTTTGTGATTTCAGTACAAAGGGAAAAAAAAAACAGAACAAGCCTTGTGGTCGACAACCTCCTTGACAGACGTGCCTAGGAATAAACGGGCTTCACTCCATGACGTACAGTGTTGGAAGCTCCCCCTACCTTCCCTTAGTCCCAAACAGGCATGTGTGGAAGTGATTTTATTTTAGTGGCAAATGCCTGACTGTGCGCTTAATAATTCATCTAATCCCAGGAGTCTGCGTGAACGAGACAATGCCCAGCAGAGCTCATCAGAGCCACATCCCTGTCATTGCTGGGATTTGTCCAAATAAAGAATCATGTTTCCTCAGGACTTCAATAATCTAGAATTTCCTTGGTGTGGTATCTCTCATAAGGAATGTTCATTAAATTGTTAGACTCAACAGAAGGGACCTTTACAATCATCTCATCTAAGGTCCTTATTTTATGAAATGGAAAACTGAGGCCCACAAAGATCAGGAAATGATCACTTTCAATTCTACTCTACTAAAATGTATTAGGTGGTCTCTACAAGTCACCCTCTGTGTGGCAATGGCCTAGGTTCTGAGGAAAATGTGAAGATGAACAAGGCACAGCCTATCTCCCATCAATGAACCTCCTCTCTCATGGCAATTACACAGATGGACCCATAACAGTAATTCAGCATAGTATATTCAGCAAAAAGGTATAATGTGATGTAAGATTTCAAGGCAGAGAGAGAGAGAGAGAGAGAGAGAGAGAGAGAGAGAGAGAGAGAGAGAGAGAGAGAGAGAGAAATATCACCTTTAGGCAACTCAGAGAACAAGAACATAGAAATTGGAGAAGGCTTCCTGACAGAGGTGGCTTTTGCACTCCATCAGCATCTTCCTTACATATTTAGGATAAGACTATAGAGCCAGGAACAGCTGGAATGCTGGTCTTGGAATACAGAAGCCCTGGGTTCAAATCCAAGCTCTCATACATCTTAGCTGTATGACCCCAGGCCAGATACTTGAGGTCTTAGGCAACTTCCTCACTTTTTTTTTCTGCTACGAAATGTCTGGTTGGTCTGTGTTGGTAGAGAGAAGCTCCACATTGGGAGCTGCTCAGTCATTTCGGTCTTGTCTAACTCTTTGAGACACCATTTGGGTTTTCTTGGCAAAGATATTGGAGTGATTTGCCAATTTGTTTCTCCAGCTCTTTTTACAGATGAGGAAACTGAGGCAGACAGGGTCATGCAGCTAAGCAGAATCTGAGGCTGGATTTGAATTGATTCTAGGCCCAGTGTTCCAAACACTGACACACCCAGTTGATTACAGATTTGTCACATATATTTTTGGACCAGATCTTTGGTTTCATTAGTGTAGAGAACAACCAGTGTGGGAAATCTTCCTCCTTTGTTACTGATTGACACATGCCCTGCAATCACATTCACCAGAGCTGTCTGGAGCACTGAGTTTAAGTGCTTTGTCCAGGGTCACACAGCCAGCTTGGGTCAGAGGCAGGACTTAGCACCTAGAGAGAGACTTCGCTAACATCTAAACTGTGCCTTAGGCTGGATTCGTGTGTAGTGCAGCAGCTTGGGGGTAAGGGGCACGGATATCATGCGGTGCTCTTAGTATGCATGATACGATGGCCTTTCTTTTTTAATCTTTTGATTTGGGCAGCCCTCCTTCAGAAAGAGCTGTTGTGACTGATAAAGTTAAGAGCTGCACACCTCCTTAGCTTGTTCTGCTTCCATGCAGTTTGAGGAGTACTATTCATTCCCTAAGGCCACGCCATGATTCCAGCTTTAACCCTACCCCCGATTCTGCAGGCACTGTGGCATCATTTAATTTAGATACGTGGGTACTGTCTCATGAAGTTCACAAGGCTGAGATGATAGCCTGGGACTGAAGGGTGTTTCTTGCTCCCCATCAAGCAAACACTCTCTGTTTCAATCAATCAGGCAAGCATTTGTAAGTGCCTACTATGGGTCAAAGCACTAGAGACCCAAAGACCAAAGTGAGACATTCAAAAGTGCATGGGATCAGACATTTACTTTTGGAAAGGAGCGTAGAGGCGATCTGTTCAACTGCCTGATTTTACAGATGAGGAAATGGAGAGCTCTCACAGGCAATGGGCGCTTGAGGCAGGGTCCAGACTAGTGTCCTCAGGGAGACAATACTGCCACAAATAAGTGCGGGACATGGACAAAATG